GCGCTACGCTGGCAGGGGACCGGCGACGGGGCAGATCCGGAATAGCCCCCTGTGTCCACCATGGCCCGCTCCAACGCATTGCGGAGGGCCATCTCCTCGTCGACATCTAGGTCAGAATTGGAGCAGTTACCAGAGCTCGACATGCTCGCCGGAGTCGTCGGATTCAATCCAGATCGAAGAAATAGAAAGAGGGGAGAAGAGGGGACGTGGCGAGAATGGAGAGTGAAGTGAGCTAGGGTTTTGGATTGAGTTCTTTATGGAAATGAAGTGGGGTCGGTGATGGGTCGGGCTAACATGGCGAGCACGCCCGCACTCCATAATCATACTATATTTAGGCTGAATATGAAAAGGTGCCAGATGGCTTGGACGTTTCAGCAAGTTTTAGACGTTCCGTGGGTCATGTTTATTTTTTTACTGGCCAGTGACCGGTCGACCCGTCCGGTCTAAAACGGTTTGGGTTTGGGATGCGGCTATAGACGCTCTGACATGGTTGATCAGTCCACAAGTTTGCCTAGCTACCACTACACCACATGCATTAACGCCACAACGCTATGCCAGACCATTAGGTACGTGGTTCTGATCGATCGATCGTCATGTGGATCGATATCACGCTGGGCTGGAACTTTTCATGCATGCAGCGCAGCAGCAGTGCTAGCCTAAGAGCATCTCCAGCCGTTGGCCTCTCAGGCGGTAAAAATCGCCCCCGGAACGCACCGGCGCAAACCACGCATTGGGGGCGTAATGTTCCTCAGTCGCGGTGCTCACATTTATTTTAAAAATTAAATTCCGGCACAAATACGGCGTAAAGCTCCCGCTCCCCCGCTAGGGTTCCCATTCGCCGCCGCCAGCCGCCCGGCACAGGCCTCCCCTTCCCGGCCCCCATCCCTTCCTCCCCGTCCCACCGCCCCCGCCGTCTCCCCGGGAGGCGGCCGGGGCGGCGCGCGCTCACCTCCCTCTCGTCCATCCTCCTCCGCCCTTTCCCCCGCCGCCGCCGGCGGTCGTCCCCGGGTTCGGCCGGGTGGTGTCGGCGGCGGCGGGTCGTCCCTTACCCGCGCGCTCTCCTCCTCCCCGAGGTGGGGGAGGCGGCGGTGGTGCTCGGCTGGTGGTGGCCCGACGTCCTGGTGGCGGAGGCCGGCGGCGCTCGCCGCGGTGGTGCTGCCTCTTGGCGGCGGGGCGCTCCGGTGGTGCTGGATGGCCGGTGGCGCATCCCCGGCCCAGATCTGGGCCTGTAGGGCCCCATCTGGGTCCTTGCAGGTCGGCTCCGGCGCGACCGCGACGCTCTCTGTATGGGGAGGGTGGGGAGCGGCTTGGACTGGGGCAGCGGCGTCGACGACGGGCCAGCTGCTGCGTGGAGGCGGGAGCTGTCTGGGCCTCTGAGGGCCCGGTAGGCTCCTGCTTTGGCGTCCGGTCGGCTACCGTCATGGACGGTGGAGGTGGGGCCCTCCCGTATGCTGACGGTGTTGCTGCCCTAGTCCCGGCTTCGTGTCCGTGTTGGTGCAGGGTGGTGGTCGGTTTGGTGGCGAGCTCCGAAGTGCCTGAGGTGGAGGATGGGATCGGGAGAAATCTCTGTTGGCTTGGCCGACACCAATGCGGTGGCGCCTGAGGGTGGCATCGGACCTTCCTGGAGGGCGTCGGGGCTACCCTTCCTCTCTCCTCGCCGTGTACCGGGGGAAACCCTTAGCAGCAGCATCGCCATCGTCGCATCCCTTCTTGGAGGTGTTGATTGGTACCGGCGCTTCAGAGTCTCGGAGCTTGGTGGGCGATCTCCGGTGGACGCAGCGGTCGCGAGGCTTCGTCGTTTTTGTCGATCCACCGTTATCGGCATTTGTTTCTTTTCTTTTCCTCTTTCTTTCTTTTGGGCATGCTTGTGTTGTTTCCGCCCCAACACCTATCGTTGGTTGTATCGGATGGTTGCTTTGGAATACAAACCGGGGGAAAATCCTTTTTCTCAATACGGCGCAAATTCAACCAAACTTCGGCGAGTTCATACATATTTAAAATATTTTACAAAAAAAAGAAAAAAAAACGCTACGCCCTTCGTCTCCCACGCCGCTCCTCGCCGCCCGCCGCCCTTGCAGCTCTACATGCGGAGGAGGCTGTAGAACCGCGTGTAGTCACCGCCGTCGTCGTCGCCTCCTCCGCGACCGCCGTCCCTGCTGCAACCATCCCCAGGTTGGCGCGGAGGGTTGGACGGTCTAGGGGCGTCCTCGCCGTCGTCGCTGTCGAGGATCACCACGCCATTCTCGTCCTCGCGCCCACGCTTGCGGGCGGCTATCTCCTCCAGGGCCCGGCGCTGCCGGACCATCTCATCGCGGAGGTAGTCGTCCCGCGCCCACTGTAGGACGTCCTTGTCGGAGAAGCCGCGCCAGGCTATCTCCTCGTACTCCGCGGGGAGGCCGGGCTCCGGCTTCGGCCTGACGAGGACGAGGCGGCCAGAGGCGGGGGTGGAGTCGTCGATGCGGACGCCGGAGCTGCGGGTGCGCGCGCTGACATGCGTGTCTTGGGGATCCAGATTGACGGAGCGGAGGCAGGGAGAGCCGGACGAGCGGCCGGATGAGGAGGAGGACGCCCCCGGGCCCATGTGCCTCGGCGTCCACGAGTTCCCACGCCGGCGAGAGAAGGACGGGGGAGTGGGGTACTCCAGCCTCGGCGTGTTGCCGCCCTCGATGTACTCGAGGACGGCCTCCAGCATGCGACCGGGCACGCCCCACCATCGGCGCCAGCCTTCGAAGTTGAGCCTTCCGGAGGGCACGACGTCGTTGGTGGCCTCGGGCTGCTCGACGTGACGGCGGCGGAAGTAGAGCTCTCAAAGTGGGCTGTCGGGGACGTACCGTGGACCTTCCCTCGCCACCCGCGGCAGAGACACGCGGATACGCGCAATCTCCGCACGCTGCCCCGCCCCGGTGGGCGGTGGTGGCACCGGAACCCCGCCGGCGCTGATCCTCCACGACCCGGGCACCCGCATGTCCGGTGGGACCGGGTACTCGGCCTCGTAGAGGAGCCGAGCTTCGTCCTCGTGAAGGTGGCGGCGGCCGAAGCCGTTCGTCGCCGCGCCGTCACCTGGGAAGCGCTCGGCCATGGTTCGAACTGGAGATGGCGAGTGGAGAGGGAGGAATGGGGGAGAAACGGCGTGTCGGCGGTGGAGAGTCTGTGCAACACCGGCGCGTCGGGGGTCAGCTTATATAGGCGAGGGCGCCGCGCGTACGCATGGCCGCCGTTCGTATGCGTGGCGCGTGAGGGACGCGCGTCGTCCGGTCTTCACTGCGCCGCCCGTGAGGCATCAATGGAGGAGCCTGACCGGCGCGGCAGCGCGGCAGCTTTGGCATTGATTCACGGCGGAAAACAAGGCGATGAGGACGACGAAGCGGCAAAAAGAGAGACGAGTCGCTAGCAAGGAGGGCCCGTGTCTTTTTCGCGCCAAAAACGATTCATCCGACGCCTCCGAGCACCCCCCAACGCGCCGGATTCGGATTGGGTCCGCCGACGCCAATTTCGATCCGAGCCGATAAAAAATAGACCATTAAGACGTGATTATATCAGTTTTTCAACACCGATGGCCAAAAAATCACCTAGAAAGCCTTCTTGAAGGCGCGGCTAGAGATGCTCTAAACGTCGACCGCATTTACGCGCCTGCACCAGCGAACCGTACTACATGACCGCCTCAACGCACGCTAAATTCAAGGATCGAGAGCAGGGTAGAAAGCACTGTGGCATGTGAGATCCGTTGGGGCCTACGCATGATCGTTCTGCCGGTGCTTGCACCAAGAAGTCAAAACGGTGCAATACACATGAAATTAGGACACCGATTCCTCCGAGCTAATGCTTATTCTCCTTATTAGTAGATGAGGTAAATCTGTTGCCTTTGTTTTTTTTTTTACTTCTATCACATCGTGTCAATAATCTGCAGCAACCACGAAATATCTCGAATCATCAATGCTGTAACGCGTTTTGTTTTCTGACCTTGGTGGGGGGCGGGACATAGACACATGGTGGCCTAGATTCAGGCCGCTGATGTGGTCGATGCAAGTAAATATAGATATATGGGTATGAAGGCACGCGCATGTGACTCGAAGCTCCCATGCTGCAAAGGCTGATATGCAACTTTTTTTTCTTCTGAAACCGCAATGCACGTATACTCGAACTCGAGTCCCCTCACATCAACACCCGTAATGACACATTGACACATCATTCATTGAATTTTCGAACGAACACGTATCAAATTAATCCAAGCGCCCTGAACAAACATGCATACTATCTACTCCTACTACTTTGTCACCATTTACGGGTGCATCATTCATGTACTAGCAAAACTGTCAAAAAGACACCAGTTACCACTTGCACCAATCTATGGGTGCATGCTGTCCTCCTGAATAGTACGAAAACGACGAATGACGCCGGCCGACATCCTGAGCCCAGGCCTGACGTGAACAACGCTGCTACACACACGATAGGATCTGGACGATTTCTGCACGATGCAGCAGATCATGCCATCCATGCGTAGTGGACAACTGGGTATGACCTTTCGATCCTCCATCGTCCATAGTTCGTCCACACCAAGTCGTCCGCATAGTAGTTCCGTGACGTGAAAGACACGAGCCGGCACTGTGTCTGTGTTACGGTGCGACCTGCAAATCCCCCGGCCATCTCACAGTCCTTGCATTGCACACTGCACCAGGCATGCCGCCGGCGCGGCACCACGACGCGTGGTGCTCAATCAATACGGCCCCACGGCGACCCAACCGTGACTGCTCCAACCATGCATGCACGACGCACATGCAGAGGTAGCCCGATCCGGACGACTTCCGGAGCGTCGGCCATTACATGATCTAGCTCTAGCCACCATCAACCAGCTGCCCTATAAATACGGCTCGAATGTGCCGGTCTCTTCCGGTCGTCGATCACGCATTTCCTCCGCCCACCTACCCAGCCCGTCCGCCGCCGGCCGGCCTCGAACCTTCCAAGCTAAGCAGCTAGCTAGCTAGCTACAGCGGCGGCGAGGAATGGAGCGTGTCTCGCCGTGGCTGCTGCTGGTGGTGCTTCTGGTGGCCGCCGCGTCCGGGCGGAGCGCGCGCGGCGATCCGCAGGTGCCGTGCTACTTCGTGTTCGGGGACTCGCTGGTGGACAACGGGAACAACAACGACATCGCGTCGCTGGCGCGGGCCAACTACCCGCCCTACGGCATCGACTTCCCGGGCGGAGCCACCGGGCGCTTCAGCAACGGCCTCACCACCGTCGACGCCATCTGTAAGATCCCTCTCTCATCTCTTTTCTTTTCTTTTCTTTCCCCGTGTTTAGCTCCTGTAAAGTAAAGCAGCTTATCAGATGAAGGATCCTTTTAGCTCGATCGATCAATATGCATGTGATTTCCTAGTCGAGTTAAGACTGCACAGATCGGCTGAATGTACGAGGTGTTTACTTGTGGTCAACCCGAGACCCCTTCAGTCCTTCACTTGCGGTGATGACGATGTCTCCGTATGCTAGCTAGGTTGGTAGTCTAAAAAAGGAAAAACATCCATGACGCGCACGGGCGGCCACGATTTTAGTGAAGGAGCGCGCGGACGGACGATGCAGCTGCGAGGCTCAACCCAGTTAAGCAGCACCCCGTGACTGTGCCTGGAGCCAGGTGATCGCTGGAATCATCAAGGCTAAAGGAGGCCATTGCGCATCTGTACTCATGCGTGTAGCCCGTGTGGCAATTCGTTAAAGACTAATAAATCGTTGGTTATGAAGTTCACCTGCATATCCATGTCGATTTTGTCTGGCGTCCTAACGAACTAGTGACTAAATAAGTTTAGTGATGTAGATGTTCACCCTGTCTAGGTCTACTTCCATTCCATGCATGCACCATCAAAAGAAAGAGAGAAAAGAACACAAGTTCGGATTAGCACCCGCACGTTTAATAAATTTTCTGCTGTTTTCAGCTCGGCTTCTGGGCTTCGACGACTACATCCCAGCGTACGCGGGAGCAAACAATGATCAACTCCTCTCCGGCGTCAACTTTGCCTCCGCCGCCGCCGGAATCAGGGACGAGACCGGCCAGCAACTGGCACGTACTCACAAACTTTTTTTTTTACTTTTTTTTCGCAGAAGAAACGTGATATATATGATCCTCTTGATGAAATAACGTGGCCTAGCTAATTAACGTTGCACGAACACTGCCAAACATGGTACGCAGGGACAGCGCATAAGCTTCGGCGGGCAGCTCCAGAACTACCAGGCGGCGGTGCAGCAGCTGGTGAGCATCCTGGGGGACGAGGACTCCGCGGCGAACCACCTGAGCCAGTGCATCTTCACGGTGGGCATGGGCAGCAACGACTACCTCAACAACTACTTCATGCCCGCCGTCTACGCCACCAGCCGGCAGTACACTCCGGAGCAGTACGCCGACGTGCTCGCCAGCCAGTACACGCAGCAGCTCAGGGTACGTAGTGCCAACACGTACGATCGAGTGTTGGCTGATGCATGGCTCATCTTGAAAACGCATGCATGGCTGTTGGCTGATGCTGTGTATTATGTGGACGTGCTTGCAGATCCTGTACAACAACGGGGCGAGGAAGGTGGCGCTGATGGGGGTGGGGCAGGTGGGGTGCAGCCCGAACGAGCTGGCGCAGCAGAGCTCCGACGGGGTCACCTGCGTGGCGCGGATCAACGGCGCCATCGAGATCTTCAACCGGAAGCTGGTGGAGCTGGTGGACCAGTTCAACACGCTGCCGGGGGCGCACTTCACCTACATCAACGCCTACGGGATCTTCCAGGACATCATCAGGTCGCCGGGGGCCAACGGTAAGGAAGAATCTGGTAACCGAGCTGCACGTTTGTACTACCGAGAGTAGTCTGAAGCTGAGAGAAATGGAGGGGTGTGGTGGATGCAGGCCTGACGGAGCTGACCAAGGGGTGCTGCGGGGTGGGGAGGAACAACGGGCAGGTGACGTGCCTGCCCTTCCAGACGCCGTGCGCCAACCGGAACGAGTACCTCTTCTGGGACGCCTTCCACCCCACAGAGGCCGCCAACATCCTCGTCGGGAGGCGGGCCTACAGCGCCGCCCAGCCCTCCGACGTCCACCCCGTCGACCTGCAGACGCTCGCGCGGCTCTAGTTATGCAACAACCTCCTTCTCCAAAGAGAAAAAGAAATTATACGGATCGCATGAATTATCAACATCAGAACCTATATGCTGGCTATATTTTGCTGTGGTGTGTGGAGTGGTCCGTGGGAATGAAAGTCGAGTGTTTTGTTACTTCAGTGCACTGCATGCGACAAGCAAGATGTATGTATGTGTGCATCTGAACAACGTACGTACGAGTACTTGTAAGGAGTAGTATATGCTATAGTTACACTTTCCGGTTTTGTTATTGTGATTAAGGATTCATCCATCATTGTGCTTCGATGTGAAACAGCACAGTTCCAAGAAAACTATCATTGTTTCTGTATGAAGAGCGTGCGTGTTTGTGTGTGTGCGTTTTTTTACGGAAAAGGACATCTGATGATTCGCATCATACCAGACTAGTCCATGGCCGTTGGATATGATGCGAGATGAACGTCTGATATGCTCCTGAGGATCCGCACGAGATTAGCCTTCGTACGTAACTTCTCCCGCAACTACACATAGTAGAAAACAGGGCTTTGGTTCAAGCGTGCCAAGCCCATTAATGTCGGTTCAGTCAAGAACCGGAACTCATGGGGGGCATACGTCCTGATTCGTGCGCCCAGGGACCCAGCCGGGCCTCGGGAGGCATTTGTCCCGGTTTATGTGGACCCATTTATCCTGGTTCTAGACAAGAACCGGGACCAATGGGCCTCGCTCCTGACCCACAGCCATTGGTCCCGGTTCGTGCCTAGAACCGGGACAGAAGGGGGGCCTTTAGTCCCGGTTCCAGCCACGAACCGGGACAAATGAGTTTCCTATATATACCCCCTCGCCGGCGAGCAGAGCAGTCCACACTATTCTGTTTTTTTGGCCTGCGAGGGGAGGGCATTTGGGTGCTCTAGCTCACCTACTATGCACATGAGGTGTTCGATGAAATGCATGAGCCACGTTAGTTAAGTTTTCTCCTCTCGAAGCTCGACCTCCGAGCTTCATTTTTTCCCAAGATTTGTCTAGGTTTAGCGGTCCGTCACGCCCCGTCCCCATCTTCACCGCCATCGATCGCCCGCGCTGATCTCGTCGCTGGCACCACCATGGTGAGCCTCTTGTTCTTATCTTCTTTCTGAAAGAAAAAAAATCTTATTTTAGATAGATACTTGTCTAATTTTCTTACTTTTGACACACATAATTATATATAATGCACGCAGATGAACCGGCAATGGATGTACGGTGACAGACACACCTCCGAGTACAATAAGGGCCTGCATAATTTTCTCGAAGTGGCCGAGCAAACAAGCAGAATGGTTTTATGTGTTGTACATGCCCTAACTGTGGGAATACGAAGTCTTACTCTGACCGGAAAATCGTTCACACCCACCTTCTTTATAAGGGTTTCATGCCACACTATAATGTTTGGACGAGACACGGAGAAATAGGGGTTATGATGGAAGACAGCGAAGAAGAAGAGGACGATGACAACTATGTGCCCCCTGAATACGGTGATGCTGCAATGGGGGAAGCTGCTGAAGATCAAGAGGAACCAGACGATGTGCCCGATGATGATGATCTCCGCCGGGTCATTGTCGATGCAAGGACACAATGCGGAAGTCAAAAGGAGAAGCTGAAGTTCGATCGCATGTTAGAGGATCACAAAAAAGGGTTGTACCCCAATTGCGAAGATGGCAACACAAAGCTCGGTACCGTACTGGAATTGCTGCAGTGGAAGGCAGAGAATGCTGTGCCTGACAAAGGATTTGAGAAGTTACTGAAAATATTGAAGAAGAAGCTTCCAAAGGATAACGAATTGTCCGACAGTACGTACGTAGCAAAGAAGGTCGTATGCCTTTTAGGATTGGAGGTGCAGAAGATACATGCATACCCTAATGACTGCATCTTCTACCACGGTGCGTACGAGGATTTGAACACATGCCCGGTATGCGGTGCATTGCGGTATAAGATCAGATGAGATTCCTGATGATGTTGATGGCGAGCCCCCCAGGAAGAGGGTTCCTACGAAGGTGATGTGGTATGCTCCTATAATACCACAGTTGAAACGTCTGTTCAGAAACGAAGAGCATGCCAAGTTGATGCGATGGCACAGAGAGGGTCGTAAGAAAGACGGAAAGTTGAGAGCACCCGCTGATGGGTCGCAGTGGAGAAAAATCGAGAGAAAGTACTGGGCTGAGTTTGCTGCTGACCCAAGGAACGTATGGTTTGGTTTAAGCGCGGATGGCATTAATCCTTTCGGGGAGCAGAGCAGCAATCACAGCACCTGGCCCATGACTCTATGTATGTATAACCTTCCTCCTTGGATGTGCATGAAGCGGAAGTTCATTATGATGCTAGTTCTCATCCAAGGTCCTAAGCAACCCGGCAACAACAGGCAACAACATTGATGTGTACCTAACACTATTAGGAAAAGGGCTAAAGATGGAATTAACACTAATGGCGCACCAGACATGTGGTGCGCCATTACTATATACTAAAGGCGCACCATGTGTTGATGCGCCATTAGTGTGCAAATACTAATGGCGCACCACGTCCACGGTGCGCCATTAGTAATTTTTTTTAATTTTTTCAAAACTACTAATGGCGCACCGTAGGAGTGGTGCGCCATTACTAGTTGAACTAGTAATGGCGCATCATGCCACGGTGCGCCATTAGTAACTTGGCACAAACATTCGCCCGAATGCCCCCCCGGGACCGCCTTTTCAGTTTCAAAAATAAAAATAAAAGAAAATGATAGAAATGTCAAAAAAATTAAAAGAAAATAAGATTCCCATGTGATATGTGGTCTAGTTGTTAGCAAAATTTATAAATATGAATTTTCAACTTTTTTGCAAAATCTCTCGAGAATTTGTAAAAATGGGCACAACTTTTGCGTACGAACTCGGATGAAAAAGTTTTTTATATGAAAAATCATCTACTCGAAAAGTTACATCCAAATTTAACTGGGGAAACCCCGTTAAACATTTTCAAAATCCTTAAAAACCTAATAGAAAAAAGATACGGGGCTTTTAAGATATGGAGAGTCAAAAAAATTCAAACTTACTAATGGCGCACCTGCCCATGATGCGCCATTAGTATCTTTCCGCCTTCAAAATTTAAAATAAGTTAAAAAAATAAAAAAAACTTACTAATGGCGCACCTGCCCATGGTGCGCCATTAGTATCTTCCCGCATTCAAAATTCAAAATAAGTCAAAAAAATAAAAAATAATTACTAATGGTGCACCTGCCCATGGTGCGTCATTAGTATCTTCCCGCCTTCAAAATTCAAAATAAGTCAAAAAATAAAAAAAAATATTACTAGTGGCGCACCTGCCCATGGTGCGCCATTAGTATCTTCCCGCCTTCAAAATTCAAAATAAGTTAAAAAAATGAAAAAAAGGTTACTAATGGCGCACCTGCCCATGGTACGCCATTAGTATCTTCCCGCCTTCAAAATTCAAAATAAATCAAAAAATAAAAAAAAGTTAGTAATGGCGCACCTGCCCACGGTGCGCCATTACTATGTCGTATATATGGCTGGGCGCACCTCCTCCACTCCACCTCTCCTCCACTCCATCTCCTCCTCTCCTCCACTCCATCTCCTCCTCTCCTCCACTCCATCTTCCCTTCTCTCCTCCACCATACTACCCTCCTCCTCTCCAGCGACCTCCTCCTCCTCTCTG